TTCCACTGTACCATAGGAACAGCTAAATGAAGTCAGTCCTACCAACTTGAGCCCAGCATCCTGCCTCTGCAGCAGTGCCCTTAGTCTGGGATCAAGTGTATTTTTTATTGGTGTAATACCTGATTCATCCTCAGTTTGAAGGCTTGATATTAAATGGGAATAGAAGATACACTAGGAGCTTGCTCCACACATCAAACCAGTGTTGTGCCTCCTCTAGGCATCCAAGCGGATGCGTAGAAGACACTCACAACAGAGCAAGCATGCAGTACATGAAAACACTTCTGATCCCCTCACTCCCCTTTCAAGAGAGCAAACACCTTCTACAAAGTGTATACACACACGTACAAGTAAGAACCACTGGGAGTTGCTATGTCTGAAGACTGCAGAACCACAAAGCACCACTGGTGGGTGTGAAGCACTCATACTAACGCAAGAAGGCACAGCCCTATCTAGCTAGACACCTGGCTGGTGGGTGGTTATTTCAGTGAAGGATTGCAAGACTTCAGTTTTCTTTCCTTAGGAAATCATGCAATGCTCTCACCAGGATTTTTTAATGTATGCTGGACTCTTTCCTGACCTTTACAATAACTAAAAACTAGGACCCTGTGTTGACAACTCAGGCTCTTTTTCCTTCCCTTCCTCCCCAGGAGATCCCTAACTGTCTTGTTCTCCTCTCCTTTCTTGCCCTGCTCTGTGCTGGCAAGATCAAGCACCCCAGTGCTTTATTCTCACACAATGAGGAGACACCACACATAGAAATACCTGCAATTAGAGAGCAAGAAGTTGCAGCCATGCAGCCCAATGGAAAACACAGTCAATTGTAAATCCACTCTGGAAAGGATTATCTGAAAAATACTCACAGTAAACTACATCCTGTGGTTCTTATTTAGGCAAGATATTTGAGGGCTTCACATCAGAGCTTTCTCTGAGTTACACCTGGCTGCAGCCCAGGAGTTACCAAAGACCAAAACTGCACCGACAGAGAAGATTCCCATGGGAGTGATTCAGGACTGCTTAATGCATTGCACAGTAAATATAATCTAAGATATTTAGACAGTATCTCCAGCAGCAGGAATTAGTTGGCTCAGGGGACTCTCAATTGGATACAAGTGCAAAAACAGACCAGTGATGCCAGGGTATTAAAAATGCAGCACTTTCAATTGCAGACAAGTGAATGCTTCATCAGTATGGTATTAGCTGGGGGCGTAGTTATTTAGAAATCTATCTATGTACCAGTTTCCAACTGTTTGATGCTGATACTCTACATCTGGCACCAGTATGTACTCTGCTTTGAGTGGAGCGTCTGTCTTCAGTATCTCCTGTATTTTTTTTAATCACTGGAATTAAATTCCTAGGGGGGGTAATGATGAAAGGTTGTAAAATCCTGATTATCTCCTAATTAGACTGAAATCCCCCAAGATACCACTGAAAGTGAAGTACCTTTACAGAGGGGAAGTCCCTAAAGACATGAATCGACCAGAGATCCTGACCATCAGCTGGGGCTGACCAGGAGGTGTTCTGACATGGAAACCAGAAGCCATGAGTCAGAAAGGCTCTTGCTTGCCAGTGAGAGATGATGAAAGGAAAAACAGCCACAGGAGAGAACACACAGAGAGGAGGTGAAAGTAGCAGGGATTTCCAAAGAGGCCTTTTGCGTAATCCCACAAAAAGGTCCAGAGAGGTAAGGAAACTCACACCAGTTTTCATTTGGGTTTGGCTCAATCCAGGCATTTCTTGTAATAAGTATGGGGGGGAGGAAGAAATTACTGCTGTCAAACTTCATGCAATTTGGTATTCCAGGAGAAGAAATATATGAACCTGAAGCATCCGTAAGAGTGGGGTTCTGGGAAAGTAGAGGCTGCTGGCGGGCAAGCTTGCTTTTTTCTGAAGACTAACTAGCAGAAACCCTCTGTCAGAAATCATATTTGACCTTAAAGTTTTATTTCTGGCACTGAGATGCTTTTCATTAAACCTCCTCTGTTCCCACCTCCTTGTGAGACTGCTGGTCCGAGGGTTACCTCTCCTGGGGTCTGGATCCCACAAAGGTTTCTCTCCTGTTTGGAGCCATCTGTTTTCTCACATCAGCTTGGTATTTAACAACTCAGAGACCTTCCCCCTTGCCAACATGGATTACAACCCCCCTGAAGGACACCAGGCTATAAAGAATTGTTAAGGTAGTACATAATGCTGACAGGATTTTTAAAACATGGCAGTGTACTGGACTGGCAGATGTCATCAGCTGAATAGCTAAGCCATAGGCTGGAAAAGCACAAAATCAGCTTTTGACAAAAGTAGCCTCTTCTAAAAATGCAGAGTTTCCTATTTATCTCAACAAATTGAACTAGTTCATTCAAAGCCAAGACACAATCTGGGAGCTGTGAAAACAGGAAATCTAGTTTTTCCTCTTCAATCTATAAATAAAAAAGTAGATGTTGAAGAAGGATATGTGCTAATCCCACAACTCTGAAGGAGCTGACAGCTGGAAAAAAAACTATTGATGAATGCTTGTTCCTAAATGTGTCATTTTGATTTTTGAATGGTTAATGTTTTAAATGATTGATATACCAAGGAAAAAGAATTCAGATAGTTTTTAACTTAAAAAAATGCAAATGAAGACTCTGAGGCTTTAAATGCAGATTTATTTTCTTCCAAATGCAATCTGATACATACCAAATAAATAAATAAATAAATAAACAAACCAGACACTATTTCCTAACACATAGAAAGTAAGAATCTGAACATTAAGTTTATAGAATAATATAAATATCTAAGAAGAGCCTTCTGCTTACTGAATTTACCACTACGGCTGCATGTAGTGACAGACCAACATGTTTTAATGCTACCAATAAAAGAAAATGAACATTCCTTTGCAAATAAGGAAGTAGAAGCACAGAAGAAGATTAAAATTGATTTTAGTTAATAAGATTTTCTTCTTTTCAGCTTAAATAATTTTGAATTTCAACCACTGGAGTAAAATCAATTCACACAAAGGTACACTTTGAATCCTTGGTTCAAAGGCAACCCACAACAGTGAAGAGAAGCCATTGCCTTGCTGAAAATATCTGTGAGCATTGGTTATCTCAGCTCTGTTCTTTGTGGATAGATTTTGTACCAGAAGGGGCTACCCTCCTTTGAGTGCCAAGGAATGGATGTTTGCTTTACTCGCCTCCTTAGTCTCCAGTCTTTGTCTTTTCCCTTTCTCCTCCCACCCATCACTCACAGAATCTTAACTCATATGTTCAGCCCTATATTTATGGCATTCCTATGGCTATTGAGAAATTCCAAAATGCAAGCAATTTATCCTGATAGGGAAGAAAAATCATTTGATAGTGTTCCCCAGGAAGAACACTGAAATCAAGCAAGCCATATGAGCAAAGAGGCCCACTGGCTTTTTGTTGGTGGCCTGCAGCTCAGTCGGGATGGCAGGCAGGTTGGAATATGAACATCTAGTTCACTAGCACAGATGAGTGCTTCTCTCTGAGACTAATTAATGATCTCTCTGATATACTCTGCCTAAGGTATGTAGGGCAGAGATAGTTAACGGGTATCTGTGGAGTCTACAGATTGTGGAAGATAATTAAAGGCGTAAAAAAAAAAAAACAACACCTTGTGGTGTCACCCACAGTACTTCATGTTTTGCCTCCAGAAAGTAATACTGTACTTTAAAATATTACAGTATTCAGCAAACATTAACTCACCTGGAAGGCAACTTTGTTTAACAGTTGCCTCACTGGCCTAAGTCACCACCCAGAAGTCCATTCCTGTCTTGTCACCCTTTGCTGAATGACTCTGAACACACTGTTAACTCCTCCATGCCTCCCCTTTCCTACAATTAAAGGAGGGTATATACCTTCCTTTGAAACACACTGAACTTCAGGATAAAGACATTATCATATAATTGTCTCTGATTAAAAGTATTAAACCTTAGAACACGTTTTGGGAAAAGTAAGTAAATCCATTTAACAACTGAGAAAACCAAAATAGACTCAGTGATTCTCCCACTTTACATATGTGTCTGTTTTTATTTTTTTTTCCCTCACTGTCTTCTCACATTAGCCATCTCCCCTAAGCCAAAAATAACAGGACAAAATGGAGATATACTTTCAAACATCTCTTCTATTGAAAAGGACAGAGGAGATGCCTGGAAAGATACTGAACATGCACACATGCTCCTGGGCACGTCAGCGCTGGTTAAAATCACCTGCAATGGACAAAGATGTTCTGTCACTTCACTGTGGGATAGAAAGGAAAATAACGTTGGCTGCTCTCTGTGTCAACCGACCAGTTAATACTGAGCCTATTGAGGGAGATTTTCAGTTGAAAAAACCCACACCACAAAGGCATTTTAGCACAAAATGGCTATGTTAGGGGCACACTAAATAGTACTACCTCAGCCTTCAGGGCCTCTTTCCGACAAAGTCCATGCCTGGAGAGAGGATCCCCCGTCCGCCGGTCCCTGGCAGGAGAACACCCACAGCTTCCTCTGCTATTTATGACACCTTCAGAGCGCTGCGCTGATTTCTCCCGGCCGGGGCTCCACGCCCCGCGCTCCTGAGGGTGTCTTCCCTCCGCGCTGTGGAAGGTGACCCGAAGCGGTACCGAAAAAGACGAAACCCCCTCCCTTGAAAGCAGACGAGAGCACGGATGGGGGAGCTGGGCGGGCTTGATGAGAGGCCCCAGCAGGCAGCGGCGACCCCCAGGCGCTCCCCGAGGAACCGATCCCTCCCGGGCGCCGAATGCGCGGCCATCGCTCTCTCTGCCGCGGGGACGGACCCGGGCGTTACCGACCCGCGGGTGCCCCCCGCCCCCTTACCTGCCGCCCGCGGTGCCGTGCCCCAGTGCTGTGCTGTGTGCCGTGCCGTGCCGTGCCGCGCCGCGCCGAGCTCCGCCGCCGCTCCTCCGCCTCCCGCTCGCCGGCCCCGGCACTGGCGGGCGGGCGGGGCCGCGCAGTCACGTGGCGAGGGTGGCGGCGGCCGCCGCCGTGTGAGGGGAAGGCGGGGGGGGTAAAATGGCGGCGGCGCGGGGGCTGCTGGCGGCCGGGCTGTTCCGCGGGCGGGTGGCCATCGTCACCGGCGGCGGCACCGGTATCGGCAAGGCCATCGCCGCCGACTTGCTGGCGCTAGGTGGGCGCGGCGCGGGGTGGGGGGGAGAGGAGGGGTCCGCAGGGAGCCCCGGCGGGTGATGGGGGAGCTGGGCTGGGCGTGAGGTGGAGGCGGGGGATGGAAGTTTGAGGGGAGCGGGTCGGGGAGTGCTCGGGGGGGGGGGGGAGGGTGTGTGTGCGGTGCGTTTTGGGGGGTGGGCAGCTCTTAGGGGGTGGGTGTGTGAGGGGTTTATGGGTGAGGCGCTGTGACGGGAGTCGGTGAATAGGGAAGGGAACGAGGTGGGGTTGATGTGGGGCCATGTCGTTTGGCCCGCTGGCACTTAAAAGATGCGCTGTTTTAAATGCGGCCGTCAAAGTGAGGTTATATTAAACACGGACCCTTTCTCTCCTACTCCCTCTTAAGTAAGTTTTCATCTTGCTTAACTGGAGGATTTATCTGGTGGTTGAACTGAGCCTTGCCGGACTGGTATGGTTTTGAACTGTTTTCTGCACAGTAAGCTTAAGGAAATGGTGCTTCTCTCAGTGCTTGTGACAGAAATGTCCTGAAGTTAAAGTATATCTTCAGCGTGGACTTTGTGGGATTTCTTTCCGTGCTGATTACAGAGAAGGGGTATATTCTGGAGTGAAAGGCAGTCTTCTGAGTCGTCCACCTTGCAGCACCTTTTCTGTAGGTGTCAGTGTAAGTGCTAGGGATCATCAGCATCAGTCTGGTTTCAGATAATGTTTATTATGTTTGGATTTGCTGTCTTCAAAATACCAGCACTAGCGTTATGCCTCATGGTGCCACGCTCCCTGGGATTTGCGCTGGTGAAATGTGCACCATGCCATTTCATTGCATTGCATAGTAAAGAGCTTTCCTTGTTGAGGCTGCGTGCTGGGAGACATCTCTGCCTCTCCTGGCCTTTGTCACCCCAGCTTTCCACTTGCTCTGTGGAGCCAAAGTGAGGGCTAGTTCTCCTACCTTTGTATTACAGGGGAACTGTGCATTTTTTTTTTAAGGTGTCCGTGTCCATAACATCCTAAACAGAAAACAAGCCTGCAGATCTCTACAAAGCACACATGAGAAAATTAAGAAAGAGCTATGGCTTAAGTCTGTCTGAGCAACCTTCCTTACCTGCAGACTTGACAGCTACTACTGACAAGATGTGTGGGAACTATTTCCATATATACCTTGCGCTTTAGGTTGTATTTTGTTTTTGGAGTGGGGGCTGGCTGAACAGAGAGTGCCTGTAGGAGCAGTGACAAAATGATAGTTGTCATGCATATTGTTTTTATAACCAGTCTCCTTTGAAGCCTTTTGGACAGATTCAAACCTTTCTTCTGTAAACTTGTGCCCTTTTTCCCCCAGCCCTGTCAGGAAATGGTCTGGTCATTCTTTGAAGAAAAAAAAGTGAAATAGTGTCGGTTTCTACTGTAGGTACCAAGTGTTCCTCAGTGAGCTGGAGTCTCCCCCTCCCCCAGTTAGCATATTTAGCAAAAATATAGCCTTTTATTTGGCCTTATTCTATATCAGTGTGTGTATTAATAAACACTTAAGTTGATAAATATTACTGTGCTACTGTGATTTAGTATTTTGTGTTAATTGGTAATTGTGTGTGCCACTTTATGAACTCTATTCTGCATTAGTCAGGTGGTTGTGCAAGTGATGGGAGTTTTTAATTTAAAAAATCAGAAGTCAGAGACTAAAGTTTTTACATGTGTTGTTTTAAGATGGCCACTGATTGAAGGTGAAGCTGCCTTTCTTAGGGATAGGCAGTTACAGCACTTCCTTCTGGAAGAATTCAACTCCCCTCTCTCTCTATATATATATTTTTTTTTTTTTTAGTTTTATGCATAGTTTCATAAGACAGCCTGAGCCAAATGAACAGCTTGCTGCTCTTTACTCCCACTAGATATTTTGAGTTGATTCTGGTGTTTGTTTGATCACGAGAGGCCAAATTCCACTCAGCAAAATAGCAACAAAGAAAAAAAAAAACACCTGGCAAGATGTTAACTTTTTTTTTTTTTTTTGGCTGGTTGAGGGTGTTGAATTGGTTTATGTTAAAACAGATGAGCAGTAGAGCTGTTATGAAGAAGGGATGGCTTCTGCTGCGGTGCTGAGATATGGAAGGAGGGAACTGGGAGCAGGACCTCCATGCCTTCTTGGCAGTGAAAGCTAGTAATTTGCTTATCTGTAATATGAAATTGTATGCCGACTGGATTTGCACTAGGAATTAATTTGGTGTAGTCTGTTTTAGTCTATGTAGTAGCAATTGCTAAAGACTTAAAGCTGTCCCAAGCCTGGTGGTGTGACGGAGGAAACTAGATTGGTTGTAGTGTGGGTGCTTGCCATTTGGCACCTGCATTGTTTTTCTCTGCAGAATGAGTCCTTCTGCCTCCAAATGCTGAAAAAAAAACAGAAGGCTTGAGCTCCTGCATATTTTTTTCGTCTTCTTTTCAGAGCTATGATTCTACAGCGTGTGGCAGTGCCATGGGGAAGCCTCTGTTCCTGCCATCTGTAGCCTGCTGATAGGAATTAATCTCATGAGGCTATCATCCTTTCCTTCAGACTCTGTAGGGTTAAAAAGCAGAACATTACATTTGCTCACTGCTTATCAAAATTACAGCCAGGCACACAGCGCAGTAAGATTATTTTTGTGGTTTTAGGAGCAAGCTGTTTTTTTGTAATCAAGACCTGCTGAAACATCTATAAATTGCGTAATTGATAAACAAGGCAGCTGTGAGCAGAGGCAGCAAAAGTGATGTCTGACAGCTACTTTGCTGACTCTGCAACTCACAGGCTATCTTCCCTTCTGCAGGAAGGACAGGGAACCTTGTGGACATTTTTTTGATTGCTCTTTTCCTGGCACAGTGGGATCTTGTTGCTAAGAAGCACTGACATCAGTCATTTCTTTGTCTTGCAAGAACTTAAATGCTGTCTTCTAGTCAGTGACTAATAAATGCACATCCTACAAGATATCTCCACGATGTTATTAAAAAACTAGCATAACTGTAATTTTAACTATGTTAGCTGAAGGATGTTTCATTTTGTCTCTACAGGTTGCAGTGTTGTTATTGCCTCTCGTAAATTTGAGCGATTAGAAGCTGCTGCAGAAGAACTGAATAATACGTTTTCTTCCATGAGTCCTGCCAAAGTGACTCCCATAAAGTGCAATATCCGCAAAGAAGATGAGGTAAAGAATAGTGATCTTGTTCTGGGGCTTACTGTGTCAAAAGCATATTGTGTATATAAATTCTCAGATTTCCAAAGGTCTTGTCTGGCCCTCTCAGAAGTGGTGTAGATCAGGGGAAAGATGCAGCAAAGCACTGTTACATTCATCTAGATAAAGATGTTCTCTCCAAGGGAAGACCATTTGTTAGCCACCTAAGCAGGAAAGAATTTGTAATTGCAAACATTTTTCTGACCATGCATAGCTATTTCAGACATTTCTGGGAGAAGCAGACCTTGAAACTGGCATGTTCTACAGCTGAGCCGGAGCCCCTTTACCATGGTTCTGTGTCACATTTCTGTAACAGCAGTGAGGAGGCGTTAACTTGTGAAGATGGAGACCTCAGAATAGTTCCTTCAAACAGGAAGTCATATCATGGAATCTCAACACTTGTGACTTGACACAAGTGCCCTGAATTGTCAGTTTTGCTTGTATTAAAGCAAAAAGACCCCACAGATACTATTATTTTTAGCCATGTTTCAAATTTTGGTTACAATTTGAGGTGTGCCTCATTACAAACTCTAGTATTATCCCAGTTGAATTTTTTCTTCATATTACAGAAAATGGAAGATCAAGGGCAAAATTATTTAATCCAGGTTTTTCAGAAGTCTGCATTTACCTCCTAATTTTTTACTCTGGGTAATTAAACATTTTAAAGCTCAGCATCAGGTTGGACTTTTAACTTCTTGAAGACAGCTAGAAAATATTCCAGTAATCACTGATTGTGGCATTTTTATTAACCTTTCAAAGTCTCTGTTAAATTCTAGCATAACTTAAAGAAATATTAATGACCTACAGTAGCTATGTAGATTCTGGAAATATCCTAATATACAACCATAAAGCAAATAAAAAATAAAATTCTTCCCTCATGGAACAGCTCGTGCCATTAAATATTTATGGTGATATAGTTAGACATTCTCTTCTGAAAGAGATGAACCCTGAGGCTCTGCACTATGTCACTTCACCTACCAGTGAATTTTAGGTTTGTACTTACTAACATCAGCAGCGTGATATAATAGGTTATGACAGATGACAGAGGTCAACTTACATGATTAAAGCTGCAAGAAAGAAAAGAGGTAAAGAGAGAGAAAAGGTTTAAGCCTTCCTTCACGTCACTGTTCTTGCAGAAAGTACTCTGAGATCCTTAATAACCTTCTGCAGGTGAATCTTATTTTTGCATCAGTTTAAAAATAATTTAAGGGAAACTGCAGTGTTTTGTGTTATTTAGAAAAAAAAATCGCTATGAAAATTTTGTAAGCCTTTTGTGGAAGTTTTGAATAAGGAGTAAAATTTCTGTTGCATGTTAACATAAGAACTTAAATGTACCCACTAAACAAATATTTACCCATTCCAGATGCCTATCTCCAAGACCAGATATTTTTACAGGTTAGAGACATCCTGTGATTTTTGTTATTCAGCTCTTGTTTTTCTGGCCCTGTCCTCCTCCATTATCTCTTTAATGCTGAGATTCTCAAAGATTGCTAAATCCTGGTCACTTGTTACTTAATTTCTAAAATTACTGTTGGACCAGAAATGTGTGGTTCATGTTTTCAGCTTTTAAATTTGTAGTGAGGATAGCACTTCCTTAGGTGCTCAGTGTTTGTGAAATGAAATTAGATAAACTCAAATTCAGAATCAGTAATTTATACTGATAAAAACTGTCAGAACTTAGATCTGAGAGATATGGCAGATTTTCCACAGCCCACTGCTTATTATTGCTTATTTATTATATTTGCTAAGAGCAGCAAAGGTGAATACTTTTTTTCTAATTTGCACTTGATTGCCTCATGAAGGCTAAAGGAAGAGTACCTTTGGGCCTTTACTTCTATTCAAAGAACATTGCACATCCACTTTCAAAACCTATTCCATTCTTAATCTAAAATATAGTGCCTGGGACTTGGAGTCTTAGGAACAGGGATCAGTAAAAGATGTAGTGAAGGATTTTTCTAACTGAGGAAGTAAATCTTGAGTAGAGGCAACACAGCAATATAACTCACTTCAGCATTTTCACAAATACAGGAGTAGCTTGCTGTTTACAGTGGAAGATGGGGTGAGAGTGCATTTAAACTTTTGGCTTCTCTCCCAAAAGAAACAAGAGTTGTACAACTGTGTTGGCTCTGTATGCTACTCATTAATAGCTTTACAACTCATTGTCTGCTTTCAGCTTAGCATGAATGAAGAGTATTTTCCTCAGAAATTCACAGAAGCACATTGTTGGGTAGAGAAGACAGCCTCTACAAGTATTCCCTGTGAGTCATTGCATCCTCTTTCTCAGCTCTTATACCTGGTACCAAAGAACGTGTGAAGGAGAAAAACCTTATAAATGTTTCAACAAGGGAAAAAAAACTTAGGACTTCAAGCCTCCTTGGATGTCAGAACTGATCCATCACAAGCTACAAAGCCCAGGAAGCTTCCTGAAGAACTACATAATTCATTTAGTGTATATCCTTCTCCTTGACATCTCACTGAAATCTTTCTAAGAGTCAATATTTCTTTTAAAGGAAGCCACTGTGGTCACCTGTAGGAACAAGCTGTCTGTTCTTACTGTAGCATGGCTTTTTTTTTTTTTTTTCCATCCCTCCATCTCCATCAGTTGTTCTGCATTTCTCTAAAGGCCCCTATGAATTTTGTCCTGGTTTTAATTTTATAATCAGGCAAACTGGAGGGAGGGCCTTTGAATAGAGGAGACTTAAGAAAGATGAAAGTGCTTTCAAAATTGCCAGATGATTTTTTTTTTTGGCCTCCTATTGCCAATCTTAAAGTATCTGACCTGCTTTGAAGATGTCACAGCTTATTCCTCTTGTGTGCCCTAGTTTGGATCTGTAAAATTCAATCATTAGAAGATTAATCTCTCATCATATGGTGCAATATTTCTGGTAGAGCTCTTTCTGGCCTGCAAAGAGTCAAAGAAGCTGCAGTAAATTAATTGCTGCAGAAGCTTGATGACAGATATCATGGGAATAGCTTAATGAATTCACATTTTTAAGTCTCTTAATCTTCATCCTCAGAGGCCCTCCTGCTTTCTAGGAAAGCTTACTTTTCCTTAAGTGTGCAAGAAATAATCTTGCTTGATGGAGGATTTTCAACCTCTGCATAACCTGTCAGGCTTATTTCTGTCACGAGTTTGCTGCTGCTGCTTTTGGCTAGCTTCCTATTGAGTGTTTTATAAAGGATAACAAACCTGTTTTGTTTTTAAAGATGGAAGAGTAGAGGGTTCTGGGATTCCAGTAAGAGTACCTGAGGTTTCTATATTCTGTCTTCATGGGGCCTTATCCTGAAGCAGTGGTCATGTGCCTGTCCCTTTTCCTGTGGTCTGGAGTGTATATAGCGGGCAATAAGGCTTCTTAGTGATTATGAAGCTGAAGTGATTCTAATTATTTGGATATTTTCTAGCACTGCCCACATAATGTGTTGAATATAACAAGAGCAGGTCAGTTTACTCTTGCTGAGATGCAGGCTGGACATTTCTGTGTGTGTGTGTGTCTTTTCAAACTGAGCTCTTTTTCCAAAATCCAAGGGTCTAATTAATTAATTCCAGTGCCTCAGTGTAGCAGTGGCCAGAGTGGAGGAGAGAGACCCCATCCTTCTTCCATTATGAAAGAGATTTCTATTTATCTTTGTAGGTGTTGGGAAGGGAAAGCATGCATTTGTGTGTCTTAAATGTTGAGCTACGGCAAATCTATTGATGGAGGAAAGAAAGACGTGAGGAGCTTTTTGCCCTTGTAAAGCCTTTATGCTGTATGCTCTGGACAAACTTTTCGTTAACTGGCATCTAGATAAATAGAAGACATATCTTGGTAAGTGGAACATAAAACCTTGTACTTTTAGTAGGCCACTGCTCTTGAAATCAGCAATTCGTAGTTCTATGCACAGTGTCCTCTTTCCATACTTGAGCTCCAGCGACAACTACTGCTGGATCAGACCTTGAGGGTAAAACCAATCACTTGAAGATCTGACAAACGACACCTTGAGATGGACTCAATACAGTACTATTTAGCACTTACCTTGTGTCTGAGTTCACTAGTACCTTTTCTTTTCCAATCAACTTCATAGCTTAGCATAGTCTCATTTGGTTTTTAAATACCTGATGCCTGTCTGTGTGAAGCCTGTGGCTTGGTGGGGAGCTGTGGATAAGAGATTCCTGTTGTCGTACTTTGAAATAACACAGCAATAATACAAAGTAAAAATACCTGTTATCACCGTGCAAGAATGCCTACTAGTTCTGGTCCCCAAATAGCAAATTTCTAACACTCGTTAGTGGACAGTTTGCCTGTTGAGTTTTGTTCAAGGTGACCTATAAATGCATGTGGACATTTGTTCCTTTTCTCTGTGTCAGTGAGTACTGTCATCTCATTGATTTGTGGAAGTTTGCTACTGCATAATACTTTCGAGTTGCAGTCACACAAAAAAGGTCTTTATTGAAAAACTCCAGTTTTCTCCTTATGGCTGAAGTGCCTAATTTTGTTTTTTTTTTTTTTGGTCTTTTTCAGAATAACATCCTAAACTGTTAGCTCTACATTGTACAGTTTTGCTTTGCTTCCAGAGAGAGTCCTTAGTAGCTTTTTTATGAATTTTTTCACATTTTCTATGTGGATTTTTAATATTTAGGAATAGAAAGGAATCTTCTTTAGTTCTCACTGTGATTTAAATGTGTTCTACCAGACCCTCTTTCTCACTGTGCTGGTGGTTGCTGTCACCACGTTTATTGTAATTGGGAGAAACACTGCAATGATGCTTTCTCTGCAACACAGAGGACATTGTGAAGATTGCTACAGTTGGAGCCATCTGAACTGTCACTGGAGAGCCTGCTAGCTTTCGCTGGCTTTCAGAAAGCAGAACTGATATGCATTTGTTTTGGTTTTTTATTGCCCTGAGAATATGGTGTGACAAGTAGGAACAACAACAGAGCTTCTTAAGATACAACTTGTGAACCATTTTGAATTGATATGTCATAGCTGATTTTCTCCACCTGTTGAAAACTTGCTTGTAATATCTCTTCTCAGTGGATTTTTCTTCTGTTATTTTCTCATTGGTTTGTTTTTTTTTAAATGATTCTTAGAGTTTTCCATTTTCTTTCTTTCTCTCTGTTTTTTGTGGTTTTTTATTCCCCCCCCCCCCCCCTCCAGTCTGAATACACTTAGTCTGTTCAACCATTCCTTGTACTGAAACCATTTCACTTCTGTAAATGAGCTCATACTTCAGTGACTTATTGAGAACAATATCCAAAGCAAGATTCTCAGGCTGACAGGGAGAAGAGTTTAATATTGCTGAGAAAAACTTAACTTTTGCTGCCTAGTGAGACATAACTTACTTTTCTCTGGTTGTGAGCAAACCTGGAAGTCTTTGTGGCGTGGTGGTTCTCAGAAGTCATGGTTTTGGGATTGCTATCACAGATGTTTTGTTTTTTTGGTGTCTTTTTTCCTCAGATCCCACAAGCTGCAGTGACTGATGTGAGGAACAAGATCACATTCAGAACTTAAAGATGGTGATTTAGGTATCAAAAGTCTTTTCTTAAGGCATTTTTTTCTTAACAGGCATTAGATTTTCAGTCAGGCTTCAGTCACTATATGTTTGTGTCGGTTTTCGTCTTCAGAGAGGTGCCTCCTTACAGGATCCATACTAACCCGCTAAACCATCCTCAACGGTTAGCAGCAAAAGCTATAAGACAGCTATTTAAGAGAATGAGTTGGTGACACCCTTGATGAGATACAGATCATAGAATCATGGAATGGTTTGGGTTAGAAGGGACCTTAAAGATCATCTCATTCCACTCCCCTGCCACAGGCAGGGACACCTTCCACTAGACCAGGTTGCTCAAAGCCCTGTCCAGTCTGGCCTTGAACGCTTCCAGGGAAGAGGTCATCAACAACAAATCATGCATTGCTTGTTCTTTTATTTCTGATGTTTTCTACTGCTAACTCAATACAGAGGAAAGCTCATTGATATCCTTCCCCTTGTCAAATCTGTTTCAGCAGCAGCATTGCTCCTGCTATTTATTTTGGGTTTTTTTTTTTTGGTCTGTGTTTTCTTTGACCACAGATGCTAGATGAACTCTTTATATATGCTTGAGTAGGAATAACTGATGCATGGTATCTAGTTATGGTAGGTAATGTATGCAGGAAACAGTCATGTTGTCCCATTTCCCTGTTTCTTGAGATAAAGGTTAAATTATTAAGCAGTTTCTATGGAGTTGTTATTACTGTTTTGTAATAGGGAAAAAATACATCAGCTTTGGTATCTGTAAAATCTTTGGATGCTTTGAAATATGTTCCCCTCCAGAAATTGTTGTGTTTAGTGTGAGTATGTGGCAAGCCTGTTGTACTTCCAAAACAGAAGACAATGCAAAAGATCTAGTTTACAGTCTGTAGCTCAGATTAGGTCAGTGTTAGAGCTAGGTTTAGATTCTCAGAACCTGTTCCCTTCCATATGAATTTAAGCCACTCCTTTTCTGCACTGACAGCTCCTTGAGTGAGTGAATACAGTGTCTTGCTATTTGCTGTTAATACCTTCTCAGAGTACTCAAAGATAAATAGTGCCAGACAGTGCTCTTAATCATAAGTACTCATGCTGCTTATAGAGAGAAGGTCAAATATTAGTCAAATATTTACCTTTTTTTTTGCTAAAGAAGACAACTTGTAGTATTTCCAGATCTTTTTAGAGTTTGTGTTTTGTAGGGTAACAAACTAACTTTCTTGGTCTGTGTAAGAATATTGGCTGTTGCCAAATCATACACCAGAACTTTAGTGAATGCAGAAAACTTGTAGATAAGAATGTTGAAACTTCATAAGATGACTTATGTTTCCTATTTAAAATGCTTGGGTATATGGATCAGATGAAAAAAACAGAGTAGCTACCTTATATGGAACTCTTCCAGCATCTGATGTGAACACCCCTATCCTTGTGAAAAACGTCAGGAGATTCTTAGTAGGTCTTAGGTAGCAGGCTTTCATGTGTGTTTGTTTTTACAAAGCTTTGACAGCTTAAATCCTCCTCTTCTTTCAGTGCTGGTATTTTATGTAGCACCTGCATTATACCAGGAAGATTTCCTAAGTAAACATGGACTCAGCCCAATCCTTCTTGTCTGGTTAAACCTGTCATACCAATCTTCTGGTCTCTCTGAAGGCTGATACCTTCTCTCTATGTGTGAAAAGGATGAGAGATGAAATACTGTCTGAGAATGAGATTTGGGTGTACAGCTTAATCAGCATACTACAGCAACAAATATTGTTTCAGGTAGAAGCTTTGGTGAGGTCTACACTGAGTCTGCATGGGAAGATTGACTTCCTGGTGAATAACGGAGGGGGCCAGTTCGCAAGTCCTTCTGAAGCCATCCGTGCTAAAGGCTGGAATGCTGTGATAGACACAAACCTGACAGGGACCTTCTACTGCTGCAAAGCAGGTAAGGACTGAACATTAAGCATTTTTCATTTATTTGTTTTGGTTTTTACATCAATGCCAGAAGACAAGAAATGTTAAGTTTCCCTACCTTTTTTTCATGCACTTATCTGACAGTGGATATTTGTTTTCATGAATCTCATCTAAAGCTTTAGATTAAACTGTACGTTACATTTGTTCATATATACAAACATACATTTAGGCAAGTATGATCTTCTGGTTAAGGCCAGGTTTGTGGAGTCACTTAGGTTGGATATGCACTTCAAAGACTATAGGAAAACCACTTAATTCTGTGGCCTATATTCACTGTGTGTAGCACAGGAAAAGATTTCTCTCTTATCAGGGATGTAAATTTAAAGTTAAATTTGTATATAATTCTCAGATAGCATTGAGAACATGGAAGTGAAGGTAATTTATGTGGAAGCCTGAAATCTTGATTTCCACCAAAAGGCTTCTTGACAAACATTGAGCCTTACCTGGACCACACCTGTTATCTCCCCAATCCAGTGGTGAGGCTATGGTACAAAGAGCAGATTGGTTATCTAAATCTGCACAGGAAATGTGTAGTGTAATAGGAGTCAACACTTCAAATTTGACTTCCAGTTGGCAAGTTCATTTGTATGCATTTCTTCTGGTATTTATAGGTTATCTTCCTCCTTCATACAGTGTACAATGCCTGGATGCAGGAACATGGAGGAGTCATTGTCAACATTACTGCTGCCGTGAGAAATGGGTTTCCTGGAATGTCGTAATATATGTTTTATTTTTACGTTTTCCTTTGTTTTTCCCCTAGAAGTACTAATTGCTCCTAAATGCTTCATTTTAGAAAGGTGTGCACTGGGCAGCAGCAGAATATAGAAATAAGTAGTTAGGTCAGGAGAGACCCATAGTATCACTTGGCTGTATGTGTGGGGGATCGCTTATTAATTCAGCAGAGAGTACAGGAGCAAATGGCATCTCTGGTCTCTGTCAATTTGTTTGTATGAAACTATGAAGCAAGACTTGCCAGTGAAACTGTCACTGGGAATGGTATACTAGTGAGACTAGTTGCACTGAAATGTAACTTTTACTTCTCTCTCAAAATTTCTGGAGGGTTTGCAAGAATTTGGCACCTGTTTTCCAATGATAATGTCAGTTTACGAGTCTTGATGGTGTAATGAGTTCTGGGAGTTGGACTGGGAGTAGGAGGAAAATTTCTAGCATATTTACCAGGTTTTGGATTTGTCTTTCTGGTCACTGATGCCTGCCTTTCCCATCTTCCTTTCTACGCTCACTTCGTAGCCGTCTTTCTTGAAGGTCTCTGATGCAGAGAATCGGTTCTATTCAGTTCTATCAAGTTTTTGTGACTGGGAGAAGGCTCATGGATACAAAAATATCACCACATTTGTAGTTCTTTTATACTGACCCAAATGATCACAGATATCTGCGTGAAAATGAAGCATCCTTTCCATATCCTTATGCCTACTATATTTGTTCAAATTTCTTTACTCTCAAAATAGAGGTGAGCAGAAATCTTTCAATTTGCAACTTTTCCTCAAAAAAATTTCTCATTTGTTGAAAGAGAAATAATGTTCAGAAAACTGTTTCAGTTATTTTATTTTCAAAGAAAATTTTGAAAGGAAATGTTGAAGTTTTGACAGTTTATTAACTGAGAAAAATGTGAACTCCTTCTTTGAAACTACCTTTTATTTTATTTTTAAATTGAATTTATATTGAAGAAGATATCAAAATATAATTTGAGCCAACATTGCATTACCTCTCTTTGTCCTGATTCAGGGTTGAAAGTTTTCAAAATTTAAAATTTTTAAGGAACAGCATAATATTTTCTCAGTAGCTTGTTCTTGGCAGTACAAAATACATTTAGAAATCCACAGGGTGGTGCTGAAGCTACAGTTATTTGGGTTTCTCCACTCTGGTTAGGTCTGGTTGAATTGTCACAGCAAATAGGCTGAAGCTGTATTTGAGTTGAACCAAGAGATTAAAAACTTAATTCTGAATAGCAGTGGAAAAAGGTTTCCCAAATAACTGTTATGTGTGGATGTAAATGGATAGACAAAACTACTTTCAAATTAAATTCCTGTTGAATTGGTACTTGTTTTAGAAACATACTATTGAAAAGACTTGCTTTTATAAGTCCAGCCACCACTCATGACAAAAATGATCCAATACAGTTTTTCGTAAGTATTAGTTTTGAACGTTAAACTGGTAAAGTTTGTTTACTTATAGTGTGCATGGAGGTTATTTATTTCAGTTGTAAACGTGAATAACTTGGGGGTTTTAATGTTTTTCTTAAATTTTTCTTATTCCTTTCCTCGTATTCAAGAAGGTACTGTATATATCTCCTCTAAATCTGTTTTGCCAGGCTAAAGGAACTAAACTCCCTTAGTTTCCTCTGAGTCCTACTGTCCACTGTTCATCACTGCAGTAATTTTGTCTGCATTTGTTCAAGCTTGTAATCGTTTCAGACTAGTTTCCTGTAGCAGCAAGGTGTACGAAATCACTCTCTCTGTGATGGTCTCTATCTCCATCCACCTACAGCAGTTTTTGAATAGTGGCTGATTTTTGTCATGCTTGTCAGAAGATCTAAACTGTTTTTCAGACCACTATCCTTCCAAGTGTTGCTCTACCTGTGCAGTCTAGCTTCTGTAGATTTACAGAATTTGAACTCTGTCTCCAGTTGTTTTTCATTTTATAAGCCTGCTGCTGCAGTAGAATGTAGCTGACATGATGCCACGCTGGGGAAGAGATAAGTATTTCCAGAAATGACAGGAAATCATAGCATAACTTGTTTAAACCGTGAAGCTATGGTCAAACTTAGAAACTAGAAAATATCTCTGTCTCTGAGAGAGAGAAAGCCACAAAAAGCTACTCTGACTACTTCAGTGAGACTGTGGTAGAATTAACATTGTGCACTGTTAACTGAGGGAACAGATGCTTCTTTTGCTTTCTTGTTTCTGTAGGCATACAGGAGCTGCAAGAGCTGCAGTGAATAACCTAACCAAGACTTTAGCTTTAGAATGGGCCCACAGTGGAGTAAGAATCAACAGTGTTGCTCCTGTAAGTAATAACAAACAGTCTGATTAAACTTAGTCATCATACTGGTGCATGGTTAAAACTTTCAGATCAAAAGGGATTTTAAAATCTATAGCCTGTAACTGTTTGTGAATTATTTATGTATTTATTTATTTGTAATTACCTCATCTACATTCCTCAGGTCATTTGAGTGTGTTTTGTACTGTTTGGATGACAAGCCAGAGATGTGGGATAAAATTACTTCTGCTTTCTGCTTTGACTTGGCACTCTTGTTTGGTTTTGTTTTTTTTTTTTTTTTTTTCGTAGCTTAATGATACCTGGGAGTCCATGACCAGTCTTACAAACCCTTGACATAAAATTACCAAATGCTTTGTGTTTCAGTAATCATTACATTGTTTCTGAGTTCACAAATCTTCTTCTATTTGAGGTTTAAATATGCTGATAGTGATAATTTTCCCCTGTGTTTACAAAGTTATTTTGTAAATCTCTGACTGTATCACATAATGTCTTTTACTTTGTCTTCCACATGTTAAGTTAGGTTAGTTCTAGGCATAAAAAGGCTGTATTTGGAGTGGACCTTTTCTCAAATAAATTATATGAAAAAATGTGTGTTGTGATTTTTTTTTTTTTTTTTTTTTTTTTTTTTCTTATCAATACATGCAGACAGGAAACCACTATACAGGTCAGCTAAAATATGCCTGAGACATTTCTGAGGAAGTAGGTAGTGTGTAACCCTTGTTTTAAATACCTGTATGGAAAGAGCAGCTATATTTTGTAGTTCATGGTGCTGTAGATTGTGTGATCTGTTGTGATTTGTATAATCTTCACTCTTAACCACAATTTCTTTTGCACATTTACTCCCTTGAAAACAAAGAGGAAAGGTAAACTTTGTCTAGATACATCTACATTTGGAATTTACCTTATCTCACAGTATAGTTTAGTGTCAGATTTGTTTAACTGGTTCCTGTGAAGATCCTTCTACTATCTTTGCAGGATGTCAGTATATCCTGTTGTGCCTCTTGTCCTAAAACATCTGTCTCGCTTTCTCTGGAGTAGCACATAATGTTTAATGGCAGATATATGATGATCATTCAGATAGCGGCTCTTACATAATCTCTGTGAGGCCCAATTCATCTGGAGACTTGTTAAATATTAAGATCTAATGGCTTGTTTTTCCTGTTCATCTATTTTTTTCTGATTTATCATGTCTTGGGGAAGTAAGTAATTAAGACAGTGTTATTATGTGAGTATATTTTTCAGGCATGCTAATTACCTAATGAATTGTACTAAGTATACTTAATAGCACATGTCAAAAGAAGTTTTTGACAAGCAAACAATTCAGTGGTTTGGCTTTTTCAGAAGTATTTGCTAGCTTTGTTACCATGCTGGTAACAAAACCCCATGTTGTAGTTACAGTAATACTTTATATCCTTCTGTCACCTTTATGGACACACTAGGTCTGTGCTAACCATACAAAACTGTTACTGCCTTAAGGAGAAGAGCAACATGTAGGGAATGGGTACACAGAGAGATGAACGTTCATTCTGAAAAAATAGTTTCACATGTGAGTTGCTTCCTTAGCTCCCAAAATACATTCACTCACATTTCACAGATATCTTAGAAATGCTAGCATATACTCCATGGATGAATTCAAATTTTGTTATCTTACTTAAAAATGTGTCCCAGAGGTTCTGCTATAACTAATCTGTGTAACTTTGTGTTCCCACTGCTGTAGCCTTCATTTCCCTCTCAAGTCTAAACTGGACTATATGATCACTAGAACAGACAGTCACCTTTTTCTATTCCTATAGCAGCTAAGTAGGGAGAGTCTGAATTCCGAGTGTGAAATCTGTCTGCTTCCATAATTCACAATAAAATCAATCTAGTGTTTTTGCAGATTACAAGAAACTGAGAGCTTGTTCTTGGGGCTTTGTAGTTTTCTGCTGTAAGCTAATATGAAATGCTTGTAGTTTCAGAATAGTCTTTGAGTATCTTCTTTTTTTACTCTCCACTTTATGGTTACTGAAGTGACAGTGGAGAATTAGAATAATATGAATTATTGTGCTTGAATAGAGATGTGGCTAGCAGCCAAATTAACTTCTTGTACAAATTATACTATTCCATTAAATTTAAAAACTTGCATTCAAGTGCTGTTTAGATAGTTTAATTCAACAGAAAATCCCAGTCATGACAAATTGACGATTTTACAGTGATCACAGTTTGACCATATGTAAGAGAACTTAATTTTCACTATTCTGTTTTAAAATAGGGATTGGTATTTTCAGAAACTGCTGTTGCAAACTATGGAGAACAAGGTACAATGATGTGGTTGAAAAGCATACCAAAGATTCCTGCCAAGAGGTCAGCGGTTCCTGAGGAGGTAATGTATTTCAGAACATTTGTGATATTTCTACTTCTGTGTTTCTATTTTGAAGCCACTTCATTATATGGAGAACAAAAAAGGCTTAATTTTGCATTGTGATGGAATATTAAAAAAATAAAAACGTTTGTAGTAATGTGTAGTAGTACCAAGTGGGAGACTTAACCAGTAGTTGCTGTTACACTGAAAATTTAATTTACATCCCTCTTACAGCTGAAATGTTTCATAGTAGACATTAGTTCCCGAAAAGGTTGAGTTCTAGCGGGGAGTCAGAATGAGTAGTAATGTGAAAAAAGTGTATCATAACAGTCCTTAACTCTTTTCCACCAAGAATATGCATCTTTGGTAAACTGGTCAATTTTTTTGTTTGATTTTTCAGCATCCGATGCTGATCTTTGAGAGTTTACTGGTTTTTGTCTATTATGTATTTGGTGTTTGTGGCTGGGAAGATGGCTTTAAGACTGTTACAGTTTTCATTACTGAGTAGGAAATGCTGCTATGTCTTTCCTGTAAAAGTTTTTACAAGCATCTTTAACGTGAACAATTCCCAGCAGTTTAAGAAATATTAAAATTGTCATTCTTTTGTTAGATCTCACCTGCAGTGTGTTTCCTACTGTCTCCAGCTGCTTCTTACATTACTGGGATAACCATGGTTGTGGATGGTGGCCAAAGTTTATATAGCCACACCCTAGAAATACCTGGTAAGAAATGGGCTACAAAATAATGCCCTTCGAGTGATTGAATTTGACCATGGGAGGACACAAAAGTAAAATGCTTGATTTCTCAATCAACTAAGTATGTTGTTTTATTTGTTTTTTTCAGATCATGACAAATGGCCCTCACCACCAGAAGGAAAAAATTCTGAAATGCTTAAAAAGCTTCTTTCTGGCAAGTTCAAGCCGAAGTTGTAAAAGAATGAAATTTTACTTTATTCCCAGTTGCACTCTTGCTGACAATCTTATTTTGTGATTTGAGCTTATTATTCTCAGTAATATAATTTTCCTTGCTCATACATAACTATTGAGTGCCTTGATTTTCATTGGTTTATATTTAAAACTTGAAAGGCTGTACAATAGCAATTTCTTCTCTGAAAACACTCACTGCCCTGAAAAGATTCAGTGTCTTGGGAAGGGAAGGTATAAAATACAAATTCTCCATTTGCACAGGCATTAAGTAATGATGAATCCTGTTCAGAAGTGTATAAAGAAATACTTATTTTGACATGAAGTAGGCAGAGATGGAATGTTTTGGAAGCCACCTATTCAGGATGAATTTGAGGAGAAGGTAATTTAAATCTCTGTTGTTACTAGTTGCATCAGTAACCCTTGAGGTAGCTGTTAGCTCTACGCCATTTGTGTTCAATAATGATTTTAAAGACCGAGTAGGCATTTTTCTGAAAAGAATTAAAAATAAGGCAGAGTACTGTTACTAGTGTTTCAAACTAATACAATATATCATATTGGGAATGTTTTGAATTGTTTGCAGATATAATGACATGATGGAGATAAGCTGGCTGCAACTTAAATTTGATAATAGAATCATCAGATAATAAGCTTTAACATACAGTGATGGAAAACAGTATAGATTCGGTAATTTAGCTTGCAAAATTTTGAAGCAGAAGCTGTGGTGTATATTGCAGTGCTTTCTGCAGTGTGCAATACTGTTAAAGGAGAAATTTGGAATCCTTCATTGACCAGTTAAATGCTTTCTATCCATACTGTGTTGTCTTACAATGTTAGCACAATTTTGTTCATCAGTATCTCTAAAACAGGTGTGATTTTTGTGATCAATGCAGAAACTCTATTTTAAAAAATTGAGATCTTGTAATATATTGCTTGAAGAGGGTATATTTGTCATTTCTCACTTTTTAAATTCACTATAAGGCAAGTGTTCCAGTGTCTCATAACTTTAATCAAAATATAAAAAATAAGTGATGACTCTGTTTTCTGTAAGAAGTGAAATTTGTGGAATCAAGTTGCTGCTATAGAAATGACCTCTTTAATACTTTGTTTTGAATTGAATGTAAGAGTATCTGCCAGTTGTTTGTTCTCTGCAAAGATGTTTGACTTTTGTGTCTTTCATTAAAATATGGGAACTTACATGGGTACATGTAGATGGCTTTTTCATTAAAAAACTGAATGCCAGTTTTGTGGGGGAGGAGAGATTTGAACCAAAATGCTTTCTCCTGATATATCCTCTTTCCTTGGTAACTGGGTGGTCATTTTTGGGGTTGTGAAAAACTTGTACGGAGATAAAATCAGCTTTTTTTCAAACCTCTTGTGCAAGATATATTTTGATTATTGCAAATATATAGTTCAGTGTACACAGCAAGAGAATTCCTAGAAGAAAATTCACCTGTTAAATGACTAGCACTATAAACCTAGCCCATTGCATTTAAGTGAAATTATTTAGTTTATTAAGAGATTATTTTTGTATTCTTAACATTTTTCTCTAAAAGAAGAATATACACAAACAGGCTTGAGACTTGTTGAATTTAATTTCTCTTTGTGTTTGACTGTGAGGGTCTATGGTATATGTGGACTGTAGATTTGATATGATACAGAAGCAATTTGATTAAACTATTCTTATGATATCCCAGAATTGTTCTCTACAGGATTTGAGCATGAACTTGGAAATAATTATTTTATACTGTTGCAAATTTCCTCTGTAACTTTGCTGGAGCCTGAATATTCATAAAGAGGGGAAGTTTATACATAACGATGGTGAAATGCATCACTCATCTCAGTGAAATGGAACATTAGAAAAGTGAGTGTTCTCCTGTGTGGGAGATGTGTTCAGTCTGCAATTAATAAGCTCCTTCACAAGTAAGAACTCTAACAAACCTTTCCGCTTGCACTGAATACAGGGAGCTTTCATTTGACCTTCTTCAACTTCCAGCAAAGGAATGGATGTATTAAGGTCTAAACTAGTTCTTTAGAAGAGGCTCGTTCCTGTGTGTGCTTTTTTCCCTGGCAAAGCGTTGAAACAGCCAGCATTTGTGGAGCCATAATATGCTGCAGCTTAGTGCAGTAGTAGAATATACTCAAAATACTCTAGGGGTAAGTACAGTGTAGGAATACACAAAATACATCCTTGAAAAGAGAAGGGTTCAGTGTTCTCTGCTTTTTTGTTCAGCAATAATACTAATGTCCCCCATGTGTTGAGGCTTACGGTGCACAATATTAAAATTCTTACCACGTTATATTAGATATTAGGATAGTAACTCCTTTGTTGTAATGATTTTGCAATGATCACAGCCTCTCTTGTTTCTTTTTTTTTTTTTTGCGTTTTTTTTTTTCTTCTTGTATTGGGGAGGATATGAAATGTTTAGTTCTCAGATGTTTTATTTTGGTCTTTGCCAAATTCATTAATTTCAGTCCATTTTTACGCAGATTAAGATTATTTTAGAAGTTTTGCAGTGCCTTGCAGAAGCTCAATGTTGTGTCATCTGGCAGCATGAATGTTTCAGGTTTCTGCTGTTGGTGCTGCAGATAATATCAGCTGTAGCAAAGCTCTTCCTATGCAGTTTTAATAACAGCCCTTGATCAAAGGGCACTGAGAGGTTAAAAAAATGGGTGTGGTAACAAAAACATCCTTGACCTATATTAGATTTGGGTATCTGAAGTTCAGAGAACAGGGCTTCATTTTATTTTATTTTTTTATTTTACAAAGGAGGTGAATGCAACTGTGGGAAAAGGGCTAAGGAGCCTTGAGAGGAATCAACGAGATTTATTGACCAAACACTGAAACTTAAATGTTTGCTGCACTGTACAGTTGTAATAAGCAAAGAGAAGAATGTTAGAATGACAGTTACATTTACCATTCTGTTAGAAATCTCTTTTCAATTGCTTTTAATATTTACCTCTGGCTAAACCTGTACCAATTCTGCCTAGCCCTTATCAGATATTCATGTGACCGATAAATAGGTGCTTATCAACTCCGGCTTTGCTGCACTATCTGTTGTTATATCTGAATATGTGTCATAGAACTTTACATTAATGAAAGCAGTGTAGTTCTGTGAAGGGGAATCAACTGTACTTGCCTTGTGTTTTACAGATACTCTTTGTATTAAGCAGAATATTGATTATTCAGGGTATTTATTTAGTGTAAAATGAAGTTGGATTATTCATGGATTTTACTTAGCGTAAAATGAAATCTGTGTTGTAAAAATCTTCATTCTTCAAAGATTAACAGTCATCAGGTTTGCTAAAGGGAATATAGTCTGTGCAGTGTCATTCTGCAGTAAGGTCCGCTGTCTGCCTTAAGATGTAAATGAATAAATATGAGGCAACAGTTGCTTGTTACAAGATTTGATGGCTATGTTTAGTCTTCTGAATAATTACATAGTATATCCCATATAACCTTTAAGAAAGCATGCTGTTTACCAATATTTCATATACTTCTAGTCAGCATCTCCTATTTTACTCTTGCTGTCCCAAATAGCCGACTTGTGCTAAATGGCTGAGTAATGTAGACATTAGGGGAATAATCTTACTAGTAAAGTCAACAGTGCCTGTGTTCTGGATTACTGAATATGGCTGAGTCCTAAAAGTAAATGAGTTGCTTCATAAACTTCAGTGATGGTTTTAGAGCAGACGAACCTATCAGTACTGCTGCCCGGTCTCATTTACAGTGTGCTTTTTCTAGAGAAGCAACCCTACACCTCAGTGGCTACTGTGTTTTTCACATACTTTGGTCTGTTTCAAGTATTATAGATGAGTCGATAGCTGCCTGCTCTTTATTTATTTTGTTCCGGAGCTAAACTTAAATATCTTGGGCAGTGGGAATGCGTCCTGAAATGCAAAATACTAAGTATGATGGGAGATTCCAGTCTGGGTGAGAAATACAGTTGCTGGGGGTAAGATGAAGCCTCCTACAAATCTTCCAGCAGTGGTTTAGGACTGTCCTCCCCAAGATATTTGCTCTTCCTCTCTATTGGCATCAGCTTCACAGTGATGGTGCATTTGGAACTGCTGAGATGCAGGCATGTGTTTCTTCGTCATGAAAAGGCAAAGGAGCATAGCAGACAGATAGGACTGGCAAAGGCCTGAAATAATGCTGGTGTTTGCTCAACACGTGTGAGATGGATTTAAATTTATAAACAGAATGTTGGCTGTCCTGCTGTTGAGGAAAGACTCATGATCATGTTGTAACATCTTGGCATCACAAACTTCATGCTACTGCTGTTCCCAAAAGAAGCTGTTTTGACTTCCCTTATCTGTTCTGTCTCTAGCAGCTTGTTTCTTTGCCAGTTAACCCCTCTTGATTAAAAATATATGACATTAATCACTTATTTAACTAGATGCTTTTCTGGATATAGTTCAAAATGTGCTGACGTGGTGCCAGCTGTAGGAAGGAGTGGTGGGAAGGCAAAGAAACTGGGGGATGAAAAGGAGGATGATGGCATGGCCATGAAAAGTGGCTGCTTTGTTCCCATTTAGTGCTTAGAAGCTGTGGCTTTAGTGTTAACTTATACAGGCACTTGTTAGACTCAAGCAATACATCTAGAAGGTGAGAACGTCTTCCTGCAATGAGGTATTGATTCTGGAATCCAGGGAGAGCCACACTGCCAGACTTCAGTCAATTGCTTGAGTAGACTGTCCAAAGATGTGCTTAGCCTATAATTTCCACTCCCGCTCCTCCCAACTTCCACCGCGTGTATAGGACTTGTACTGAATGTGTAAATAACTAATATGCCCTATTGCAGCTTCTGTCATCTATTTTTATACTCTTGTTTTCCACATCAGCACTATTATCACTGTACCTACAAGCTTTTTTTTGCTCCAGTAGCATGACACATGATCTCAGAACCATGCCCCTGGGTTTGGGCTGAGCTCAGTGTGAGCCAGTGCCGTAAGTGCTGGTCCCTGGTGTTGATAGATACTTTTTATCTCAAAGTCAGTATTTAGCTGTTTATCCTGCTCCCGATACTGAAGATACTCTGCTGTAGGGATTATGGCACAGTAGTGCTGATGCCTGTTAGGATGTACATCACCTCTGCAAAGTGCTCCTGGGACGGCACAGTGAGAGCGCTCTTTGCTGTGCGGCCTTTGTGCAGAAATACAAAGGGCCACAGGGGCAGAGGAATGCGGGATGATTTCCCACAACCCTCGCTCGCTAGCTGCTTCTGTACTGAAGGAACTCTGACTTCGAATCCTACAGTTCACTATCCCTTCCTTCATCAGTGAAATCCATTTGCAAGATGCTAAAACTGACAAATGGCCATGAACTGGAACATTAAGGCAAGGGAAACACTGGATGTGTTTTCAAAGCTGTGTAAGCAGCTGTGGCTCATTGATCTTGCTTGATGGTGCAGGAGCATCACATAGTCAGCATTTTTCTTGGTTCTTTCCCTATCATTTAGCAGAAAAGGTCACCTTTTTAACTTTCTAGTTGAAGACACTTGGTTGTGACAAGCGTCTTGTGAACATGGCTGACAGTTTTGCCAATTGTGGAACAAAGTGTCTTTGCTTTGAGGGACGGCTATGTTTTCTTCATGTTGGATCTGGAGTTATTAATCAGTGTGATTCAGAGCCTTGTGCCTTTGTTGGATATGCTTCCTCAGTTGGTCTTTCTTTATTACAGTTCCCTCCATTTTATTTTATTTTATTTTTTTAAAGATTACAATTTTTGTTTTTATAATTTTCTACAGCCTATTTCAGTGGAAGATCTCAAAATACTCAGGTTGTGTGCCTTGATGTGCAATTTTTTAGTTTCACAGGTGTTTCCCACTAAAAGTTCACTTGCCTGGGTATGCAGCTCAGGGTCATGTCCCACTGAAGACTTATGTATTTGAAAGACCTTCCATGCGTAATTATATATATGCCTATAATAACGATGTAAGTCTTGGACCTAGTTCAAGTAGGTTTTCCCAGGTTTGTTTATGGTGGACAAAAAAAAAAACAAACCCCAACCCTTGTTTTGGGTAGATTTTGAGGGCTTGTCCAGGCTTTGCAACCCCCCTAATTGCCTTAAAGGTTGGCTACCTCTGGCCCCAGGGCCGGAAAGCGGCACATACGTGGCCGCTCGCTGGGCTGCAGAGCACAGGCCTCCACTGCCTCTGTCAGTGTCAGGGAGCCGGGCTTGCTGAACGCGCACAGGTCGGTCATGCATCTTGTACGCAACGGTTCCTCCCGGTTAGCTTATTTCTAAATCTGTACAAAACTAGTTACAGTGCCATAGTAATATCTACAGTCATCTGCTGCTTGGACTTCGAGGGTAGGGGTAGCAGCTGTGCTGCTGCGCGCTGGGGAGTAGTGCCTCCTCGCTGGTTCATTTAGGGTAGCGTCCTCCTTCCTCGCACGTATGGACTTCCCGGGGGAAGAAGGTGGCTCCCGCGGAGAACTGGCAGCCCGTGCTGGGAGAAACGGGCAATCCTGGCGGCGGCAGAGCGAGAGCTGGAGAGGTCCTGAGGCGCGGGCGCAGCCGCGGAGTCAGGTCAGTTTGTCCTGCCTCGGGGCTTCTCAGGGTTTTTTTTTCTTTTTTTCTTTTTTTTTTTTTTTTTTTTTTGTTGTTTGTTTGTTTGTTTTTTGGTTTTTTTTTTGTTTTGTTTTGTTTTTTTTTTGTTTGTTTGTTTTTTGTTTTTTTTTTTGTGCTTTTTTTTTTTTTATGGAAGCAGTGGAGAGGGTTGTACCGATAGCGCTGCGCCCCCGCAGCCCCGCCCTGAGGGCTCACACCCCCCCCGGCTCCTTTTGCGCGTGCGCGGAGGCGGGGCGTAGTTCGCGCACCGTGACGCCGGGCCGCGCTGACGTACGGCCCTCCCGCCGCCTCCGACGTCACGAGTTTCGGGAGGGGGAGGCGGAGCTTTCGGTTGGCAGCAGGAGCGGCGGCCGCCGGCGCCTGACGGGACCCCCCCCCACACTCCTCCCCACAGACACAGACACCCCACGCCGCGGCGCCGGCGCTCCGGGGGCCCCTTCCCCGCTCACACCCCCCCCCCCCCCCCGCCTCACGGCCCTGCCGCCGCGCCGGTCCCGGTGCCTCCTGTCACCCTCCTCGCTGTGCCGCAGCGCGGGCAGGCCCCGGGCCCCTTCCCCCCCTCCCCCGGGGGGGGGTGGGCTCCTCTCTGGAAACCTGGCCGCTCCCTCCGCGCCGCCTGTCCAGCTGGGCCTGCGCCCACCGCCGCCGGGCAGCGCGGGGGGTCCCTCGCCGCCGCCCGGCCTCCGCTGTGACACAGGTCGGTGCGGGCGGGGGGCGGCCCAGATTCGTGTGTGTGTTTTGGGGGGGGGGGGGGGCGCGGTTTGTCAGGGCGCCTCGGAGGGGCCGCCGGTGCGGGGGGCGCTTGGGGCAACGCCGGCATCCAGGAGGTGCCCGGGCGGGGCGGGGGGAAGGGGAAGGGGGGGCAGCAGGAACCGCACTGCTGGGAGCCGCCGGGGGCACCGTCCCTGTGCAGATGGCGGTGCAGATATCTGAGGTGCTGGGAGGAGAGGGGGACACACACGCTGCGTGTTAGTTATTTACGTTACAGCTGCAGAACATTAAGGGTTTTATGAGCTCTACAAACATTTATATGTCACCGTAAACCTCCCTGTGATTGCATACGGATGCTGTAGTCTGTTGTCTTTAAATTGCTCTGCAGTGATAGCAGTGCCATGAATTGGGTATGTAGGTCAGATTCTGAGAGGTATTTTCGTCGGGGAAAAAAGTGAGTGCTAGATTTTTTTTTTTTTTTTTTCCTTATTGCTTTTGAGGTGCATTGCAGCACCCACGAGGTTGGTTTGTGATTTTGTTTGTTTGTTTGTTTTGTTGGGTTTTTGTCTGGTTTCCTTTCTTGATTTGTAAATCTGGTTTTAGTTTTTGTCTGTGGAATTACTGAAGATCAAAGCATTAAATAAACAGCACTTCTCAGCTGTATTGTATCATGGAGTGTCCTCTAAGAGGGTGGTAAAAGATAATAGAAGCCTCTCTGGAAATAAGGGGGATTTCTAGTGTGTGCAGAAAACGTTTCTTAGCTATAAAATTTCTTTCCTTTTAAACAATGCAGCACGTTGCAGAGTGTAAGAGGCCTTCAGAAATGTGTTGCTATGTATATGGCAAAGATGTAGTATTTGCAGAATGAATGTCTATATGCTTGTCTCGCACAACATCTTGGATTCTCTCGTGGCATAGCGCTTATTAGCAGAATACCCTAGAAGGTGTCTTTTCCTATGGAATTCCCTTATTGATAGTTCTGAGGGAATGGGCAGCGATGAGTTAGTACGTATGCTACAGTGAAAAACCTTAGAAGAATTTTCTTAGTTGGTTGTGTTTTTTTGTTTTTTTTTTTTTCCTACCCTATGGCTAAAACCTTTGCTGTCATTTGAAAATAACAGAAATACTGTATGAGGGCATTTTACTTACATGTATGCCTTTGCTAACAGTGGCTTTTTATATAACTGCTTTTCTCAGAAATATATTAAAAAATGAGAACTTGCTGTAATTCCCATTTGCTTTACACGTTGTTTTCCATCATGATTGCCACTGAAATGTATTGAACCTGAATATTGATTCATATAATGAGGCTGCATATAATTAGTCAGATTTTTTTTTTTTCCCAAGGTTTTATTGTATTTTGATAAAGCAGAATAGCAAGGTAATGTTTGTTAAATTGACTCATTGCTGGAGAAAAATCTGTGTACACTTTGTCTTGATGAACACTGTGTCAGTGGTTTACCTGACACTAATGGAAGACTATGGTGAAGAAAACAGATGTTTCTGAATTGCTTGTCATGGCTTGCTGAGATTTCTAAACAGTCAGAGGAAACTTTTTTCAAGATATCTCTGGTGCTTGGTAATCTTGAGAGCTTTTATAGAATATGTGAGTAAGCAGATATCTGCGACAGGTAGAATTTATTAATGTAGCATAATGAGCATTATTTTGGTTTTTGATATGGTAGGGAAGCTTTTTCCTTTATGTCGATAAAACCAGATAATTTATCTTAAAAATAAGTAACCTTTCAAATTTGATCCCATCAGTGGTTCTTTGCTGTGGTTCTTAAGAAAGCTAGTCAGTACTCAGACATGTGGAATTTAAAGCTGATTGAGGCTATATGCTGAACACTTACTGTTTTATTATAAAGTTTTCTTCTAGAGAAAGCAAGGAAGTTGGTCATGCTGTAAATTTAATTCACATTTATAGTTTTTACTTTACATTTTTTTTTTCTTATGATTTCCTGAAATATGGTGTTAATATTTAGGTACAAATCAGAATTACTGTTTTTTGAAACCTTGCCATTAATAATAAGTATTTATGGAGAACTTCTTGAAAAATCTTTGCCTATTAGCAATTTTAAATTTATTTTTTTGTCTTTCGTCTATATGATCTTTACTGCAGGCTGACTATTTACGCCAGCAAACTTAAGAGTAATGAATAACATGGTAATTTTTTTTGTGACAGATTGCTCAGTGGCTCTGTAACTGACCATTCTCTGAACTGAAAATAATGTTTTCTCATACAGATGCAACCTGAGAATGGTAATAGAGTGATTTCCATCATTGATTCCCCCTCTCCCAAACAGTCAAAGGTGTTCTGATCTATCTAGAGGTACACATTTGTTTTGGAGTAATGAATGTACTTTCTAATAATTTCTTTTTAGATCTTTGCTGTTAACATTATCCTTTGTTCAGACTGCTATTTGGAGAAAGAGAAATGAATAACAAAAATGTGACTGATCAGCGTAATTAAGTACATCTTGTTACGTTTGCAGAGCTTCTTTTCTTACATATGACAAACTAATGTAAATATGCATATTGACTAGGGACTCTACCTAAGTTTATCTAATTAGCAAGCAGCTGTTTGCTGTCCTGAAAATTTAGTTTCTAAATTTAGGCTTTTAAAATTCTGAAGTGGAACTGACACAGTATTACATTTATAAAAATAAAAGCCAGTGAATTCTCTATTAAGCACACTAATTTTTCTGTGGGAGAGAAGAAAAATCTTTTATTGTAAAGAAGAAATACTGAATTTGTTATTTTAATATTTGGTATTTTGTAATGCTAAGGAATAGGTCAAAATAGATCATGCATGCTATAATTGCACATCTTGCAAAATAACATTGTAAACGTATAATTGGCCAGTGGGAACGTGTTCAGAGTGCCGTGTGTTAGTTGTGATTCTCATTTCTGGATCTTAGCATGAGATCTTAATTTAGTAATACAGTAATATGAGAAATGCAGCTTATGGCTCTAACCTGATTTTTTAGACTAAACATGCTTGTTTACAGGTTGTTTTGAGATGTTTTTAATCTATTCACCTTAGGTGTTTTTTTTCTGAGAAGCTGCAGAAGGTTTGGTGACAATAAGTGAAGGAAAGAGGGAGTTTTGTGTTAGGATATTACACTGATTTCCATCTGTGGGAACCACTGCTCTAGAGACACTTGACCCACAAATACACATGTGGTATAGTTTAGAGCCCAGCTTAATGAGGTCATTTGAAGTTGGACTTGCTTAAGCAAGGCCAAATCAGAGGTATCTGCAGTGTGCTTTAAAAACAGAGAATAAGTACACTAACAGTCTGACAACAGCAATATAATAAAATTCAAATGTTTCAGGTGTTTGTTGCAAAGACTGTACTTCTGAGACTCACGTATGATAACACTGTTGAACAGTTCTCATTTGGATAAATGAGGAAATGATAGATGTGTATGTAAGGGAAGGGATTTCCTGAGGTCAGTCCCTGCTCTGAGGCAGAAGCAAATACACTGAAATCATGTCTGAGAGATACTTGTCTGATCTTTTCTTAATTTCAAAAGAGAGGAATACTAAACTGAAACACTGGTCTATTTATAGCTAGTACATAGCAATCATTATAGGTAGGAGACTTTTCTTAATATTTAACTTAAGTCTCCGTCTTGGTGCTAGTTAAGCCAGTTAGTTCTTGTCCAACTGTTATTACTCATGCAGGATAATGGTTTCTGTACTCTGCACCAACTGTTTGCATATGTCAAGACTGTTCCTCTGTCTCCTTCTATTTCAGACTTCTTTCTACTAAACTGTACAAACAGGCCTTTTTCTTCACAGGTTGTGTTTTCTCAGGATTTTTGTTGTTGTTAACTCTCACTGAACTCTGTGTGATTTGTCTGTATCTTTTTCAAAGTTCCCCAGACACAGTCTTACAGCAACAGAGTAATTAACTTACTCTGTAAGTTGCAGCAGAAGTAACATGACAGCCTTATTAAAATGTCATTCTAGGGTGTGTGTGCACACCTATGGTTGCTTTTTGTTTTGTTTGTTTGTTGTTTGGTGTTTTGTTTTGTGTGGTTTGTTTGGTTTTTTTTTTTGTTTTTTTTTTTTTTCCTGGTGAGTGTGTGTGTTGTTTTTTTTATTTTTTTTCCCCAACAACATCAGGTTCTTGGCTCCTGCATTTGTTAACACAGGAGCTTGTATCAGTGTTTGTTAAATCTGGTATCTGTCAGGTATCTCTTTCTCCATGTATGTGAATTTGAGTTATCTTTGTGAAGAACAGAACCTTAAAATGTATTGACTTTGGTCTTTATTTAGGTTAGTTTTCTTATTTTAAGCATTTCTAGACTCAACAGGATCACTGTTCAGTAAATTATTCTACAGGAAAGTATACGGTTTCTGCTCTTCCTCATCTATTCCCCAGCACATCCAGTCCCTGTGGCTTTTGAACGTAAGCCTGCTCTACAAGAGGAAACTTGATTGAGAACAAGTTCTGCTAGGGTTAGATGCAGCTTCTATTGGCAAAAATGTGTCTTTACCAGTCTATTTTATACATGTGCTGTCTTTGAAGTAAGTCATATCTCTAAGATAACTTCTGTCAGTGTAACTGTATCTGACCAAGCCTGTTGCCATTTTGAGATATCATACAGTCCAATGACATAGTAGAAGAAATTTTTATTCTATAGGTGTGCTTTATTGGAAGAATTGAAGAGCCAGCTACAAAACAGGTGTGTTCAGTGTGTTCCCTGGCTTTACTCCATTTTATCTGACTTATGTAAATTATTTTATCCATAATTTTTGAGGCTAGATCACAGATGGGACAAATTGTGTGATTCTTACAGCAGTGCTGCCTTCACAAAAAATGAAACCAACATCAGTAACGATTATTAGAGAAGGTCTTTAGTTTCTTACAGGAAGAACTATTGAAGTAGTCAGCGTTGATTACCTCTTACATATCCTCAAAATTAATTTAAAATAATTTAGACAAGAGAGTTCTGTAACTGCCAACAGCTTGAA